TATACGTGTTTGGCTCAAAAAGTTCAATTTAAGAAATGCATGTATTTTTTTGGTATCATGGTCGTGAAGTAGTCACGAGAAATTGCCAAGATTCAGTTAAAGATTTAATCAATAATCGAAGATAGACATTTGATTGTTCATAGTATTGGCAGTCTAATGGCGTTTACGGCATGTCTGTATGTCTATTCTGTGATTTTATATGATTTTTTGAACATATGCCGTTTTTGGTCGAAAACTCAGAAATCATGACGTCACTAAAACCTCGATATCTCAAAAAATTTCCGACCGATTTTTTTGAAACTTTGTCACAATACATTTCAATCAATGCCCTACAGGTACTTACCCAAAATTTGGCGCGCCGTTTGTATACTATGGCCCGGCGAAAAAAGTGGGGGCGTTTAACGCCCCCCCCCCAGCAACTCGCGGGTTAAAAGATTCTGTCTGTAATACAGCGGGCTAGCAGTTCAATACTGACTTACACGATGTCAGAAATGCCTGCAGCAGCCACCAGGGTTGGTCACATACCTGAAACACAAAGAAAAAATCCGTCAGTTATTGTGTTACCGAACCTTGCTGTATGAGCTAAGAACGAAGGAAGTATTATGGGTACGGTCAGTCTTGAAAGTACTGCGCAACGTTGCAGTGGATCCATCAAGCCCGACAAAGGAGGGGCTGCTTCATTTAAGTCACCGAACCAATTGACCTGGGATATGGATGAGGATATCAATTGGTTCGGTGGCTCCCAAATTTAGCGGCTCTTCCCCAGTAGGGGTTCATGGACCCACAGCACCGATGCTCGGTACTTTCAAAACTGACGCCGATCAAACTGTGTCGTACTTTTATTCTTATAGACGGTGCCCATTCAATAATTACACTTATTTACCCAAAAGTGCAATGAGAATGGGCTGTGACTATTCAAGCCATACATGTTTAACTACCAAAGGTCCCATTGAATATACCAAAGGTCCCTCAGTATACCCTGTCCAGAAACGTGCGTGGGATGATGAGCACGCACGTACGTACGCATGTTCTGAACACGTCACGTGCCTCATCAATATCTGGGGCATTCCACGATAGAGCGTACCACTTTTTTCCGATTTGACACCCTCATCTCTCGGAATTTGACGAGAATTGATCAGGGGCTCTGAATCCACCTGTAACAATTTCAGGCTTATCAGATAAGTATTTTTTGAGTTATGGTGTATAACATTTTTTGGATCTTGCTTTGCAGCGCTAAGTTTGGCGGGCTGTAACTCTAAGACGGATTATTCAAATGCCAAATGTTATATAACATTGAACTTGCAATGCAACAGAGATTAATATGTATTTTTAAAAATTCGAAAAATACGCTATTTTTGATATATGACATATCGAGTTTTCTTTCATTTGTATTTTTTGAACTTTGGGACCAAATTTTTTTGAATTTTTATTTCTTTAAAAAAATATTTGGCTCATTGTTAAGAAGTATGCAAAAAAATAGAAAGGTGTTCTTTCTTTAAATGTATTTATTTTACGTCACGATAACGGTTTCGAATAGTGATTTCGGGAGGGGAGCTTACAAATGGCGTGGTAAAGCTGCCTAGTAACATCACGGGTTACTGAAATTTCAATTCAAGTCTGAGTCATCTGAAAAAAAGTGAAAAGAGGGTTCATTCAACCCTCTTTCCTATAAGCGCGAGGGTGAAAAAGGCTGTTTGGTTCTGACATTGTTTTGGACGCCAATGACCATAGCTGACCGAGATGAAAGTTACAGGACGCATACATGGTGTCCTCCAGAGGTCTCACAGCTTGTATATCTGGGAATTTTTCAAGGTTACATGAGGTCAGGTCGGTCACGTGACATCACTGTTATAAATCAATGGGGAAATATAAAAACTGTTATTTTGGCGCCGAGAATGATCTAAAACTATCCCACGTACATGGTATCGTGATTTCATGCACTCCTTGCAAAGTCCAATGCTTTACTTTTGCATTGTTAACCTTGCGTGACGTCATTTATGACGTCACTAGGGTCGTACGAGTTTTTCGTCAATAACTCCCGATCAAATCGAGCTAGAGAGTCGGGAAAGCCACCAATGGACTCGGGAAGACCTTCCGAATCGAATGATATGCCATATGATACCCTTTGCCCAGCTTCGTGACCTGAGGGCTCTGACCTGACCTTGACCCGAGGTCAACTACTTAAGTTGACCTCACCATAGCAAAAAGTATACCATTCGATGCACCTGAGCTAGGCGAACACAATGATGCCAAAATCGCGGCTCTGCGGCCATTTTTTGCGAAGTTATTTACTAAAAACCGAACCCGTAACTTCAGTCACGTGACCTGACCTCAGACGCTACCGGTTAACCTGAGACCTTAAAAGCGGGTACCAATCGCTGCGACTTGTAACGGCACACACGCTCGTTTTTTCCGCGAGGCTCTAGCTCTATTAGAAGCGAAACGGCGTGCTGGGGTCGTATCAACCCCTCCGAAACCCATTTTGTTTGCGGGAAAATGAGGAACTTATAGAAAGAACACCTTTCTTATTTTTTGCATGTTGATTTGCAATGACATGAAGATTATTTTGAAAAAATAAAAATGTGAAAAATTTTGGTCCCAAAAGTCATTAGAGGCAAATGAAAAAAGATTAAGGTTTTTGCTCAACAATGAAATTTTTTCTTTGGAATTGTTAAATAGTAATATTAATTCTTGATTCATCGCAAGCTTATTGTTGTTTACTTTTTGTTGGTTGCTTAACCCGTTCTTGAGTTATAGGCCATCAAACTTACCGTTACATACCGAAGTTAAAAAAATGTAATGCAATATAACTCAAAAAGTTTTGATCTGAGAAGTCTGATATTTTGCCAGGCGTCTTTGGGGCCTATGATTACCCCTAGGACCGATTTTCATTAAAATCTGAGAGATGAGGGTGACGGGCCTGGTACGATCTATCGTGGAATGCCCCATCTAACAAATAATTTCATACCATGTGCAATGTAGGCATGGTAATAACTATTGCAGATGGACTACGCGCTTGTCACTACCACTGCAATGTTCACTTTCATTTGGCATCATAGAGAATGATAAAAGTATCCGCGTGTGCTTTTTTAATGACAGCACCAGCACACCTAACTATTTATCAGCTCGATTACAAAAGACAAGCAGCTACCCTATATCTAACGTCAGAATGTGTCCAAAGGTGCCGGCTCTGAATTCAAATGGGCAGATTTGGGACGAATGGTATAAAGTGATGTGTGATATGCAAACTTAGACTGCCTGTATGTCTTTTATACGACTTGCAACAATCTTTCCAGATAGTCATGCCTACAACTTTTACTGATTATGTTTGCTTGATCTTATACAGAGACGATGAATCATATCCCGCGCCCCACTGGGGGGGGGGTATTTATAGCCCCCCCTCCCGGTTTTCTGCAATAACTTCCAAACCGCTTGACGTATCGACGCCAAACTTTCAGTACCTCCGGCTGCATCAATTTGTCACCTTGTGTCAAAATTTGAACTTCGTACCTACCATAGGTCGGCCGGAAATGACGTCAGAGTGACGTCATGTTCGGCCGATTTCGACGCAAAACATTGAACCACGGCAATCGCTCCCAAGAGCTCAGTTTTTAAGCTAGATCCAATTTCTTTGCATGAGAGGACTCAGAATAGACTGCGCTATCAAACTGCTATCTCGGATTTTCGAAATTTTGAAAATTTCGAAAATTTTATATAATAAAACTCAAAATTTATATTTTTACATTTTTTTCAAAAAAAAAGAAACGGAATATATGTGATAGAACGCATTATTATGACTAACTCTAACAAGTTTTAGCTAAATATCTTCAAAAATGGCCAAGTTATACGCATTATTGCAAAAAATTAACAATTATTAATTTTTCAAATCAATTTTTCCAGCATGAATTTGACATCATACGCCAATATAAATAGCACCATCGTGTTCCTGAGCTCAAACTGCATCCAATAGACACCTTTTTTGTTGAAAAATTTTAACTTCAAAATTTGACCTTTTTTGACCTGAAAGTGACCTGACCTGAGCTAAATTTGACTCAAAATGACCTCGAATGACACAGACGACATCAAATTCGAAATCTCTGACCTAAATAGACCATAAAACATGCGTCACGTGACCGACGGATGATATAATATTTTCGTGACCTGTGATGACCTGACCTTGACCTGAAAATCAAAGTACAAATTTGGTACCCTCAGAGTATCTAGAGCATCTGTTCACGAGTGTGTGAACCAAAAATGAGCCTGATCTGACTTGTAAGACGGCGGCCAGAGCCCAAAACGTGAAGAAGCCAAAATGCTAATAATTTTTACTTTGACCTGACCTGTGACGTTATCGGTGACTTCGAGGTCAATGAAATTAGGTTTCGCTCGACAGTTTTTCCGGGGGCTATCAGACGCCGTTTGAATTTTGACGATCGGCCCAGTAGTTTCGGAGTTAGGAGGGGGGGGGGGGCTATGAATAGCCCCCCAACCCCCCCCCCCCCCCCAGTAGGGCGTGTTATACGCAGACCCCAGTGGGGCGCGGGATATCTTTGGCAGTGCTGATAACTTTAAGAGTCATGTTGGATATGCTAATCGACAACTGTTGAAGAGCAATCAAGCAAAGTAGCATCACTCTCACAATTGAGACAAAACAAAAACGTAAAAACAATGCCTGATAAACTAGAGGATCTTGAAGTGGACTTCTAAAAGTTTATGAGAAATACATAGCTATGACATTCCTTAGCTCACTGACTAGCTTCGAACTGCGAGTCACGATACTGATCACTGGTGTCAGTCTACCAAAATCAAAACACCCCTGAAATTCCGGAGAAATTGTAGCATACGACGGCTCAAGCTTCTTCACACGCTGCGGAAACGTGATCTGTCACGGTCAGATCTCAGAAGGGGGCGTGGTCACTGGTCACTGGTCAGCCTCTGGGCCCGTCCCGCCCCACACTGCCACCTACTTAGGGCCGCACCGACTGTGGGAGAGCATCAGTTCAACACCGATCACACTCCAGTCAACATGAAGCTGGTGAGTACTAGTAGGCCCAAGGCAGAAAACGCTAGCAGAAACTCCTAAACACATTTTACATCGTAAGCCTGACGGTTGTTGAGCCTCCGCGCCTCCTCCTGCCACTGGCTGCACTGGAGGGGGAGCGGCAGTTTGTTGCCCCCCTACTTTTCTGATGTTTTCGTCGCAAAGCAAAGCAATAGATTGGCCAAACTTCCCACAAATATATCAGAATAAATACGAGACTTCATAGCTGCGGCAAGATGCACACAGTGTCACCCTTCCATAATGTTAAGCATGCCATGGATTGAAATAACTTGGGTATCTTTCCTCTTTCAGTTCATCATCGCTGCTCTGGCCCTGGTGGCCGTTGCCGACCGGCCCCAGCCTTCCTACAGGCCCCGTCCCACCTACGCTGCCCCGACCTACGCCCCGGCCCCGACCTACAAGCCCCAGCCCAAGTACGCTCCTGCCCCGTCCTACGGCCACTCGAGCTACAAGCCGATCGCAATCCTGGGGCAGGAGGACGTCCACCCCGGAGATGGCACCTACAGCTCCAAGTTCTCCACCGAGAACGGCATCTACAGGTCAGTAATAAAAGATACAATGCTGAGTGTCAGATAACATAATTCTAATACGGCCAAAGTTGCAATGCAGAAAACATTGTAAAAAGTACAGCCCAGAAAACACTAGATGTGAACAGTGAAACGCCCAATCTTCCATGAGGCCTTTCCTTAAAAGAAATAAAAATAAAATGAAAACAAAAAGACGATAACCTCAGCGTAACAATCAACCGTGCAGACCAATGACACTTCGATACACGTCTCTGTATATGTTAAGTCACTTGGATGATGAAATATCTAACTTTGCCAACACTATTTCCACTCTTAGATCCGAGACTGGCGTGCCGGTGCCCGGCTACGGCAAGAACGCCTACGGCGAGGCGGAGGACCTCTACCGCCAGGAGGGCTCCTGGAGCTACACCAACGGCTACGGCGAGGAGGTCAAGGTCGCCTTTGTCGCCGACGAGAACGGCTACCAGCCGTCCAGCGACATCCTGCCCACCCCGGTGCCCACCGAGTACCCGACCCCCGAGGTGGACCCCACCTACGTCGAGCCCCAGCCCAGCTACGGCAAGCCCGCCTACCAGCCGGCTTACAAGCCCGCCTACAACTAAACAATTCCTGATAACTTGTGATTGGTGTCATGAGCTGTGATTTCCTATCGGATATTTTTATATGTATTTATTCAAACGAAACTATGTATAACGGTACTTACTGAATACAAGCTTCGCCGTGTCATTTGGGGCTCTTCAGCAACACATGCTAAACATGATACAGTTGATACAATGGTGATAAGGTATCGATACCGACAGAAATGTTCTGCGTGATTGAAGTTATACACACAATATTGTAAATTACGCAACAAACCGTTCCACCTATACATATTACATACTGAGACATTAATAACAGAAGTGCAGAGCAAAAGGGGTTGGTGAGAGCAATAGGTAATAATGATAAGTGCCAATTAGTGTAACTGTTTGTGTTAGTGTTTCAAGCTGGTTGGAGCCGAGCATTGAACAGCTGTAGCAGAACAGTTGACTACTGTTTGATGAATTAGTTGTTCATTGAAGGGTCAAGCAAGAGACTGATCTTGGCCCTTTAATTTAACTTCCCATACCATGTACGGAAAGATAGATAATCACCAGTGCCGGCGAGGGTCAATCAGGCAAATATGCCCAAGGCATTGACCAGGTCCTACAAAGGCCTAGACAAGCAAATAGGCTTGCTGTATTTCAGTATGCGGCCTCCGGAAGCCGTGCTTTTTGCGGAACAATCTTCACTCTTCATCCAAAGTTATTGCATTCACACGCTCTCTCTCTCTCTCTCTCTCTCTCTCTCTCTCTCTCTCTCTCTCTCTCTCTCTCTCTCTCTCTCTCTCTCTCTCTCTCTCTCACACACACACACACACACACACACACACACACAAAATCCTTTCACCCTCAGAGGTTTCACCCAATAGCCAATAAGTAGGCATACCAAGTTTCAACAAAATCGCAGAGGTGGCCGATTTTGGCTGTCCCGGTTGACATGGAATGCCCCTATAACTGATGACACCAAACAAAACAGCAAATTCTAAATCATCACAGATGACTTCAAACGACACTCGCACGGTATTCTTGACAATATGATATTTGTAGTTTAAGATATTGGAATTTAAACATCGCGAACGTATAAGGGGGGGGGGGGGTCCGTTGGACCCTCTTGCCGTTTCGCCCCTGATCGAGCTAGAGCTTCGCGGAAAAAACGAGCGTGTTGCCCGTGACAAGAGCAAGCCGATGATATCTAATTTCGCTGTCATAGGTCATTGATTGACCTTCCAGGTCATGTCAATGACCCAAAAGTCGGGAAAATCGGGACTTGTTAGAACGTCGTAAAGTGTACCTAGCTGCTATGAGGTTTTTCGGGGTGCTGTTCACGAATAACATGCTAGTTTTGATCACAGATGATGTCTTCATGCATTTAGGCCCGGACGGGTCAGGCCAGGTCAGGTCAACCAATAGTGGTCTTGCCGGGTACGTGTCAACCCCCTCCTACAGTTTCGTAACATGTTGTGAAGGCACCAAAACTACTTCGTAAATGTTAAAATAGTTGCTAAATTAGGATTCAGCTCCAAAAATTAGCATAAAACATGTAAAACTCGAAAAAGTGAACCGTAGTCAAAGGCCAATGACCTGACCTGACCTTCAGGTGACCTTGAAACCAACCCTGATGCATGGAAATAACATCATATCACATGTTTAAACGCTTGAAACCACGAAAACACTGCAAACGCGCGGCTAATGGGAGCCGACAAACGCTGAATCGCGCTTCCAGCCATACATGGTCTCAAGAATATGTCACATGCCAAAGGTCATTCGGATCAGGATCATGAAATTTCCAGGGTAGGTGTACAATTGATGTCGCGGAGGCACTGAAACTTTCGTTCCGATCGGCCGCTTTTTACGCGAGGTATTTGCGAAAACCGAGGGGGTCCGTTCGACCCCCCCCCCCTTATACGGGCGAGGGTTAACCCGCGCACCGACGGGGGTCTGCGCCAACTTCGCACCGACGGGGGGGGGGGCGGATGACCGCCCCCCCCCCTGAGATCTCGAGAACGAAGCAAGATAGCGACAAGCGGTAAACGGCATCGGATACGCACGGCCAAGATCTACAATTTTTACTAAGGTCATTTTCAGGTCAGGTCAAAAATGACGTCACAGGGGTCGAAAAAGTCAAAATGGCGGCGCTAGATATGGAGATAGTTTTTCTCGAATAACTTTCGAATTAGTCAAGATAGGAACAAACTAAGGGCATCATCGTGATCCTCTCGTCAATCCGCATCGAATGATATATATGTTGACCTCGAAAGGTCAAGGTCAAAGGTTGACCTCAGGTCACGTGACCTTGAGGTCATCATGTATATCATTCGATGCGTCTTGACGAGCTGAACACAATGAGATCATCCACGCGTCTGTATCTTGTTCCTGTACGGAGTTATTGGCCAAAAACCTTTGGTGACCTTTGATGACGTCACATGACCTCACAGCTGCCCAACAGCAAAACAGACCTCAAGGTAGTGAAGGTTGATCGTATATGAAGTCATGTATGGTATATGGGGCCATTCCGACCCGTTTTAGTGGTAAAATCAGGGAGTTGATTTTTCCCCCATTGACTTATAATGGGGAGGTCGCGAAATTGACCTGACCTTAGGTCACCGATATCAAAATTCCGAGATATACAAATTGTAGCTACTAATGACCTAATAATATCCTGCGACTTTCAAAGGCCTCCGACATCTAGTGTAGCTCTGGCACGGTGACAAAGTTGCAAAAAAGTGACTTGAGGTTGGGTCATGCAAAGTGACCTGGTGACCTGACCTTAAACTTAAAAGGTAGGAGGTTCAAACTTGCACACCATGTGTAAAATTGATGAGGTTATAGTCATACCAAATTTCGCGGCGCGTAGGTTTTTCCGCTATTCGCGAAAAACCTCAGGGGGGGGGGGGCGGATATCCGCCCCCCCCCCGTCGGTGCGAGGGTTAAGCGGTGTCCTTGGAAAAAAGAAGATATAATACAATATAACTGTATGACTATTATTGTGCCCTTTAACACTGAAGACTTGCCCCATACTGCTGACCAATGTGAGCCTTTTCACCAATAGCACGTTCCATTCGTTGTTTTTCAATAAGGTAAACAAAGAGTCTGAAAAAGTCCCGGTAACATTCAAGGATCGCAAAATGACGGTGCTTTGTCCAGTGAAAGGAAGCATGGTAGAAAAGAGGAGCGCCTTCTATTTGTTTCGGTCCCATCCGGTATTTATCTCGGCATGGCAACAGCACGTGAGCTGCGTACACCATCTCCACGGAGGACGGTGCAAATTAGCCAGCCGTCTTCCTGCGCCGGAGCCAAGGTCTCGTCAGGACCGGTTTGACCCAGATACTGGAGCGGACGCCGGGAGGGCACGAAGGCCAGGCGCGCCATTGCGGAGGGAGGCACTCGCCTGCGGCCAGGACTACAATGGGGGACGAGACGCGGCTAACGGTGCGGCGGCGGCCGGCCAGTCGTCAGGGCGTGGCCCCGCCGGGATGCACGTCCAGACGGCAGTGACTGCCGGCCGGTGGTCAAGGTCGGCGGCGCCGCGGAGGTCGGGGGTCGACCCTGGTGGACACCGGACGACCTGCTGAGCAAGGTGCTGAGACTACACAGGTCCGAACCCTGTCAGAGGTGGTCCCATGAGGTCGAAGGACGGACACTATTCTGCAGAGATGGTGCAGACAAGGACGCCAGCGGTATGAGTGCTCAGTCTTGCCGCTATGTCCTGCAGCGGCAGATAACCGAGCAAAGTGCGTAATATTTCCAGCTCACTGTGACACCAAGACACAGTATATTGGCCATTCGAGGGTGTTGCATCTCTCAGCTTCATGGCGTACCCAGATTCATTGCCCGGTGGGATGTGGTAGCAGAGGGAGGGCAAGGTCGCGCTTCTGGGCTAACTGTGAGAATCTTGCATAACACAAGCCACGACAGACGTAACAAGAGATTTACTTAAATTGCCACCGATATCACTTTTCAATGCCCCTGGGAGATCTTGTCTAATATCTGTCGCGCCAATGGAGCATATGCAAATTAACATTCAAATGACACGGTTATTTTGCTTCCCAAATTTCTTACCATAGGGACTATCACTTCGAATTTGTTCCAGTGTCACTGTAAACGCACACGCCAGGCTCCGCCCAGGTCCATGCTTTGGAAGTCTAATGGTGTTTACTGGAGCTAGGCTCACAGTGTTTTCTCCACCGTCAGATTGTGATGTAACATGTTCTCCTGCCACGTCGGACACAACCGCCCCATGGGAGCGGTCGTGTTTGACGTCATGTGGGAGCCGTCCCTGCAGAGAGGCATGGTCGACAGAGCGGCGCTGCTGGTCGATATACGAACACGTTACGTATTGCATGCATGTAGTGTGCAGTGGAAGCCCGAACATGGGAGTCACGGCGGGGACCGAAGGGACGGATGATTCTGGGAATGGTGGCCGCTGGGACCAGGCTGACCCTTAATTTTAGGCAGGAAGTGAGAAGACATAAAGAACATGGGGTGCTGAGAAACTTAATCTATTTCATGCTTTGTGCTTCACAGCCTTGAATATCTTTATCCCGTTCATGCACGATGACAAGTAACGTTTCATCACATCAGCTAACCCAGAAAACAGGGCACTGTGCACTGCGAGCATGGGATACTTCATAGACGTCAGTAGCAACCACGGCCGAAAGTGAATATGGAATTATCGCGCCCAAGCACCGCTACGGCGCTCAATGTGGGTATTTATAATGATAAAGACGGGGCGGGACTAGGCTCAGTACCTTCTAGGCAGGTTAACGATACTAAGAAAATGCGACGGTGATGGCATAATCGCGAGGCACTGAAGCGTGTCAAAATAGGTCACAGGAGTCACAGCACAAGTTTATGGCTCATCAGCCAAATGGCAGCCATTGAGAGACGTGCGAACATCGGCCCATCACCCTCCCCCCCCCCCCCGCTCCCCCTGGTCTGAGGTCTGGGTCACAGTGCAGGCCAGCGCCACTCCACCCAGAGTCTGTGCCCCGCGGGTACCACTCATGGCGACGCGAAGAGACACCGCCCGGCGTGACGTGAGTAATATATAATACTGAACGAGGCCGGTGTAAATAAATTTTCAAGACCGAGGTCCTTACTGAATTTTTGAACGAGGCCGAAGGCCGAGTTCAAAAATCAGTAAGGACT